GAGGGCACATGCTTGGGTTATGGGCTTGATCCCTAATGGGGGATGTGTAGGAGGCAGCCGATCAATGATGTTCCTCCCTCATTGAGGTTTCTCTATCGCTCTGCCTTCCTCTCTCTCTAAAAAGAAAAAAAAATCAATAAAGACATATTTTTTAAAAAAGAGACACATTTTTAAAAATTCAGATTCGGAGATTTGTTCTTTCTATTTGTGATTTTCCTATTTACTTAAGCCTTTACTTTATTTCATCAATATTAAGAAAATTATATAAAATTTTAATGGATTTTTATTAAACCCAATGTACTGCTTATGGTTTAAATATTTTTAATGATTTAGTCATAATATACTTTTATTTTTATTTCTTCAGATAAGATTTTTTCAAATTAATTTTAAATGTTTTCAATTATACATTCAATAGCATTCTGTATTAGTTTCTGGTATACAGCATAGTGGTTCAACTATCATTTATTTTACCAAGTGTTCCTCGCTGATATTTCCAGCACCAAACTGGCCCCATACAACATTACATTATTGACTATATTTCCTCTGCTGTACTTTACATCCTCATGACTATTTTGTAACTACCAATTTGTACTTCTCAATCCCTTCACCTTTTTCACCCAGACCCCAACCCCCCTCCCCTCTGGCAAACATCAATCTGTTTTCTGTATCTATGAGTCTTTTTATGTTTTGTTTGCTCATATATATTGTTCTTTAGATTCCACATGTAAGTGAAACCATATGGTGTTTGTACTTCTCTATCTGACTTATTTCACTTAACATAATGCCCTCTCCATCCATGCTGTTGCAAATGATAAGATTTCATTCTTTTTATAGCCAAGTAATAGTTCCATTGCACATATGTATCTATTTTTTTTTTTTTTTTTTGGCCACTCATCTATTGAAGGTTACTTGGGTTGCTTCCATAGCATGGCTATTGTAAATAATGCTGCAAAGAACATAAGGGCGCATATATTCTTTTGAATTAGTGGTTTGAGGTTTTTTGGATATATACCCAGAAGTGACATCACTGAATCATAAGGCAGTTATATTTTTAATTTTTTGAGGAACCTCCATACTGTTCTCCACAGTGACTGCACCAATCTGCATTCCCACCAACAGTGCACAAGGTTCCCTTTTCTTCACATCCTGGACAACACTTGTTTGTTGATTTATTGATGACTAGAGGCCCAATGCATGAAATTTGTGCAAGAGTAGGCCTTAGTTCCCCCAGCTGCCAGCACTAGCTTCCCTCTGGCACCCGGGACCCGGGCTTCCCTCACAGCCCTGGCTTCATCTGGAAGGTCTTCCAGAAGGATGTCCGGTCTAAGTAGCATATTACACTTTTATTATAATAGATAGCCATTCTGACAGGTGTGAAGTGATATCTCATTGTGGTTTTAATTTGCATTTCTCTGATGATTAGTGACATTGAGTATTTTTTCATATGTCTATTGGCCATCTATATGTCCTCTTTAGAAAAGTTTCTATTCAGGTCCCTAGTGTGTGTGTGTGTGTGTGTGTGTGTGTGTGTTTGATTTCAGAGAGGAAGGGAGAGGGAGATAGAGATAGAAACATCAATAATGAGAGAGAATCATTGATCAGCTGCCTCCTGCATGCCCCCTACTGGGGATTGAGCCCTCAACCCAAGCATGTGCCCTTGACTGGAATTGAACCCAGGACCCTCCAGTCTGCAGGCCGACGCTCTATCCACTGAGCCAAGCCAGCTAGGACCCTAGTCCATTTTTTAATTTGATTGTTTATTTTCTTAGGGTTGAGTTTTTTTTTATAAATTTTGGATGTTAATTCTTATTAGATGTACCTTTGGAGACTATGTTCCCCCATTCAGTGAGTTGTCTTTCCATTTTGTTGAAGGTTTTCTTTACTGTGCAAAAATATTTTACTTTGATGTAGTCCCATTTGTTTATTTTTTCTTCTGTTTACCTTGCCTGAAGAAATTTACCAGAAAATGTATTGCTAAGAGAAATGTCCAAGATTTTACTGCCTCTGTTTTCTTTTAGGATTTTTATGGTTTCGAGTCTTACATTTAAACCTTTAATCCATTTTTAGTTTATTCTTGTGTATGGTGTAAGAAGGTGGTCTAGTTTTTTTTTTGTTGTGTTTTTTTTGTTTTTTGCACAAATCTGTCCTATATACCTAACACCATTTATTGAATAGACTATCTTTACCCCATTATATTTTCTTGCCTCCTTTATCAAATATTAATTAACCATAAAGGTGTGGGTTTATTTTTGGGCTCTCTATTCTGTTCCATTGATTTACATGTCTGTTTTTATGCCAGCACCATGCTGTTCTGATTATTATGGCCTTGTAGTATAGTTTGATATCTGGTAGCATGATCTCTCCAACTTTGTTCTTTCTCAAGATTGTTGTGGCTATTCAGGGTCTTTTGTGGTTCCATATGTATATTTGAAATATTTGTTCTAGTTCTGTGAAATATGCCATTGGTATCTAGCTAGAAATTGCATTGAATCTATAGATTGCTTTAGGTAACATGGACATTTTAATGATGTTAATTCTTCCTATCCATGAACACGGTATATGATTCTATTTGTATCTTCTTCATTTTCTTTCTTCAGGGTCTTATAATTTTCTGAGTACAGGTCTTTTACATTCTTGGTTAAACTTATTCCTAGTCATTTTACTTTTTGTATTCAATTGCAAATGGGATTGTATTCTTAGTTTCCCTTTCTGATAGTTCACTATTGGTTAAAATGCAACTGATTTCTGGATAGTTATTTTGTATCCTGCTACTTTACTGAATTCATTTATCAGTTCTAATAGTTTTTTGGTGGCATCTTTAGAGTTCTTTATATACAGTGTCATGTTGTCTGCAAATAATGACAGTTTTACTTGTTCCTTTCCAATGTGGATGCCTTTTATTTCTTCTTTTTGCCTGATTGCTGTGGCTAGGACTACGTTGAATGAGTGTGAAATTCCTGTCTTATACCAATTTTTTTGTTTTGTTAATCCTCACCCAAGGATATTTTTTCCATTGATTTTTAGAGAGAGTAGAAGAGAGGGAGAGAGGGGGAGAGAGAGAAAGAAACATCAATGTGAAAGAGACATATCCCACACGTGGCCTGACAGGGGATAGGGATCAAACCTGCAACCCAGGTACACGTCCTTGCTTGGATATCGAACCTACAACCCTTCAGTTCTTGGGCAGGTGCTCTAACCACTAAGCACAACAGCCAGGGCTAATTCCTATTCTTAAGGGAAATGCCTTTAGTTTTTCCCCATTGAGCATCATGTTAGCTGTGGGTTTGTCACATATTGTATTCTTCATTTCTGACAGGTATATGGTTTTTATGTACTTTTTTATGCTTGCTATCTCTTTGTTGAAGTTCTCTCACATTTTATTGGGCATACTTAATACTATTTCTTTTAACTCTATATCTAGTAAATCACTTGCCTCCAATTCATTTAGCTCTTTTTTCTGGAGATTTCTCCTGTTCTTTCATTTGGAGCATATTTCTTTGTATCCTCACTTTGGCTGCCTCTTTGTGTTTGTTTCTAAGTATTAGGTAGATGTGCTATGTCTCCCTGTCCGGGTAAGGTGGCTTTATGTAGGAGGTGTCCTTTGGGACCCAGTGGCACATTCTCCTTGATCATCTGAGCTGGGTGCTCCAGGAATGTCCCTTGTGTGAATTATATGAGCCCTCCTCTTGTCATTGTGTCTTTTTTTAAAATATGTTTTTTATTGATTTCAGAGAGAGGGAGAGAAAGGAAGCAAGAGATAGAAACATCAATGATGAGAAAGAATCACTGATCAGCTGCCTCCTGCACACCCTCTACTGGGGATCAAGCCTGAAACCCAGGCATGTGCCCTGACCAGGAATCAAACTGTGACCTCCTGGTTCATAGGTCAATGCTGAACCAGTGAGCCTCTCGAGACGGGCTTGTAATTATGTCTTGATTGCTATTGGCCTGTTCATGCATGAGGTTGACCCAGGCTGTCTGACCGTAAGATTCAACCCCAACCACAGTGTATGAGCTGCTGTGCAGGTGCTGACCACACAAAGCCTAATTCACCTTAGCAGGGTCTGGAGCCTGCCGAGATATCCCTGGTGAAGCTAATTAGATCCTGCTCTGTTTAAAGCTCAGCCACTGGGTGTGTTGTTCTGGGGTCTCTGCTGCAGGTCAATGTCAGATGCTGTCCGTGACTAGCCCTGGGCAACCTGTTAGGAGCTACAAAGTGATACATAGTTTGTGGTTGCCTCTGCTGGGCCTGTGTGTTTGTGGAGAGTACCAAGCTGTCCACCAGCACCCAACCCGGAGTCAGGTCAGCCAAAGGCCCAAGGAAACCTGAGATCTGCCTGCCAGCTGCCTGTTAGGTTCAGTCACTGACAGAGCCTCTGGTGGTACTTGAGTTGTATGAGGTAGGTTCTTAGTGCATCACCAGATAGGGGCAAGTGGTATTCACCAGACTGGTACAGGTTCAAACTTGGTGCTAGTGCTGGGTCTGAGGGCTTTCAGCAAAAGTCCCAAGATGTATCAGGTCTAGCTGCCATCCATGCAGTGCCCACAGACCTTTGTGATGGGGTGGAGTCTCAGATAATTGTCAGTGTGAGGCCAGCCAAGTTTATCAGATCCAAACAGAACAGGATTTGGCCGTATGAAGGGAGGGCTTTACACTGGTAAGGCTTGTGAGGTAAAAATTGCCTAGAGCCACACAACTCAGTCTGTCCTATATTCTGCTCAGACCTTCTGGAAAGCCCCAGTTTGACAGGGTGGGGCCGCCAGGAATCCAGATGTTGGGGTTAGTGGATCTCCCGCGAGAGAGAGATGCTGGTTAGGCTACAGGAAGGTGGGAATAATGGACCCTACTACAGAGCCACAAAACTCAGCCCTTGAGCCTGCCCAGAACTCTAAACTCTGGGCCCCAGGCAGCTGACTTTATCACGGGTTGTGAACTTCCCAGGGTGGGGCAACAAGAAGTCTGAAGGGTGGAGTTATTGCATTCCTCCAGGCTGATGCAATGAGGAAGGTGTTCCATCCAGAAAGATGGCCTCTGCGGCATAACAGAGGGACTCAGCACAGGGGCCCTGGTGGCTGTGCCTTCAGCTCTTTCCTGGGAGCCACAAACCCCATTTGCTCCTCCGCAACTTGAGCCTTCTCTGTTCCGCTGCTGGAGCCCATGGTGAGTGGCTGCAAACGAGATTTTGTGCATTGGACTTTTAAGAGGGTGCCTGTGTCTCTAGCAGACTTTCATCTCTCCCCGTGGGCAGAATCCCTGATGATTTTTCACAGCCACATGTTATGTGGGCACCTTTTCCTGACTCTGGTGCTCTGGTTTGGGGGGACTAATATGGGGTTTGAGACCCTTTGCTTCTCAGAGGGAGCCTTGGTTGCTGAGATATCCCTCTGTGATCTCAGCTGCCACCTGTGGGAGCAGGGCCAGCCTATTGGCATCTCTGCCCTTCCTACCAGTCTCAATGTGGCTTCTTCTGTAAATCCTTAGCTATAAGACTTCTGTTCAGCTGATCTTTGATTGATTATTCCGGTTGGTTGTTCTATATTTCAGTTGTAATTCCAGTTTGGTCCTTGGAGGAAGTGAGTATAACTTCCACCTAATCCACTACCATCTTAGATCCAGTTCATCATACACTTTAAAATTCAACTATAATTTAATGAGCTTTTATAAGTTATCATTGCAATGTAAATTCCTCTATCACTTTTGTCACGACTAGTATAATCGTTTTCATTTATTATTACTAATAATTAGTTAGTATGTGTTTATTATGTACCAGGAAGTGTACTGTTTTCATATAATAACTCATTTAGTTATTATAATAACTCTATGAGATGCATATTATTATTTACATCTTAAGAAATTGAGGCATAAAGATAGAAGTGACCCACCAAATATTACACAGCTAATTATTGTAATTCAATATCAGAATTTGAACCTAACTCATATTTTAATTGCTATGTTCTACTGTCTCCCAATTTCATACATCTATTTTTCCATCAAGATGTAAGATCCTTAAGAGCAATGACCATGTCTTACTCTACCTCTGGTGCCCAGACCCACACAGAGAACTTAGTGAACATTGAGATAAACTGAATTTGTTTAAACTTTGGTCTGTAATTTGAGGGAAAACAACAACAAAAAAACTTTACAAAACTGTTTCTTCACAAGTAAGTTCAGTTGTAGCTGATCTTTTTCCTGCTCTAAGCTGTTTAAGAGCTTGTTTTGTTGTCCTATAGAAAAATGGACAATTTATAACAACCAAAAAGATAAAAATAACTCTTAGCCTATGAAAAGACAGTCAGATTTCCTAATAGTAAAGAAATGTAATTTAAAACAACAATGAGATAAGATTTTATAATTATACCAGGTGCCCAGCTCCCGATTGGGAATCGGGGTGCGCAGCCCACCCACCTGCCGCCCTGCCTTGACACCGAACGTCCACGCAGAGCAGAGGGCCTGGCCCAGCCCCCAAGCCCTCTGGCCTTCTCTGGCCTTCTCTGGCCGCTTCAAGCCCCACCCTCAGTCCCTCCAGAGGCCTTGGGCTGGCCCCACCTTCTCTGGGCCCCTCCGGCTTCCACCCCATCTCCGGAGCAACACGGCAGCTCCGCCCCGTCATGGCGCCCCCTGGAGGAAAGCGGAAGCCTGCGCTGTGCTCCGTCCCCTGGCAGGTGGCCCGGGGCACTCAGAGTGCCAGCGGTGGGTGGCGAAGGACAGTCCCGCCTCCTCTAGGCCCTCCCCACTTCCGCCCCGTCTCCAGAGCAACGCCCCGGCTAATATGCTAATGACCTGCTCGTTACCGTTAGGGCATATCGACCATTAGCATAGTAGCACTTTATTAATATAGATTGAAAAAACAAAAAGTATGGCAACAGTTTATTGATGAGGTGGTACAGTGATGGTACTCTCATATATTGTTGGTGGAAATGCAGAATGATAAACCCCTATGGGAATACATTTTTCATAAACTAGCAAATTATTTATTTACCCTTTGACTCATAAATCCAGTTTTTAAGAGTTTACTGTAGGAGCCTCTCAACTTCAGTTTTACTCTTTAATACCTGCTCTGTGATAACAGGACTCAAAGCATTTCTCCATAACAGACAGCACAATGTTTAGCTTTGTCAGTAGAGGGCGCAGGAGGAACATTGCAGAAGGATGGGGGCTATTGTGGTTCTGAGGTGCTGGGGTTTGCTCTTGCTCCTTGCCAAAGCGTCCATTATGGTATGCAATGGGGATAATGAGGGTGGAAGTGAAGGTGTTGATGAAACCAAGTGGTGTTGGAGTGCCTGGTCCCTTAGAGAGTTCCAGCCCCAGCCCAAGCCTCATGACCAGCTTGCTGTGGACCTCCTGGTGGGGATACCAAGTGTTCCAGGGGGGGCCCTGACCAATTCTGTGCCTATGTGTCAGAGGGTTGTTTCCTGCTTGCCTGGCAACTGTGGAAAACTTTGGCCTAGGAAAGCCAGCAAACTCTCCGCCATCTAGGAGGCTGCAACCATGCCTTCTCTAAATAGGTTTAACTTTACTGAAAGGATTCCTCCCTTCCAATTTTGTCCTATCTTGGGTTCTCTCCTTCAGCCACAGGGCATTCTTTAGAGCAGTGGCTGAGAAACCATGGCCTGCTGGCTAAATCCAACTCACCAACTCTTGCAAATAGGATTTTATTGGCACACAACCATGCCCATTTATTTAGGTAAGGGCTTTGCAGCTATCAAAACAGAGATCTCCGTGAACTATTTGGGGTGACTTTCAGAATATGATTATTGAGTGAAAAAAAGCACAAAAGCATATACCAGTATAAAGCCCTGGCTGGTGTGGCTCACTTGGGCATCATCCTGTGTACTGAAGGGTTGCTGATTCGATTCCCAGTCAGGGCTTGATCCCTGTGGAGGGTGCAGGAGGCAGCAGGAGGAGATGCAATGTTTTACTTTTGCATCTCTCTCTCTCTCTCTGCAAGTCAATTTTTTTTAAAAAAGAGTATATGTAGTATGTCATGTGAGTAAGAAAGTTTCTCATTTCTTAAAAAACACACAAAAACATAGGAAGGAGAAAACAAATTAATAATATTGGTTGCCTAGCGATGATGGGTTGGAAATAAAATGAATAGAGGAGGAATCAACACTTCTCTGCATATAGTTTTGACTTTAAAACTTTGTTAATGTTTTACACATTCAAAAATGAAATAAATCAACAAGGATAAGAAAAAAGAAAATTGAATGCAAACAGAAACCAATGAACCATATTTTAAATTAATAGCATGACCACATGAAAGAAAAAGAAAATAAATAATAAAAGTAATATTTGGACCAATACTTTATCTAAATACTCTCAGTTGAAAAAAAATTGCAAAACAGAAATATTAAAATCTGCTTAACAGGTTCTTTTGTAGGCCATAATTATAGTAATTTTGAAACTATTTTGGTGGATTGTAAAATTAAGCAAACAAATATATACATTGGGGTGTTAGGAGCCAGGTTTCTCATTGTAGGAGAAGATAGATACAAATTGAAATGGGAGGAGGCTAAAATGAGTACCGAGGTATTTGTTGCACTGGAGTTAGAGTAATCTAGATAGACAGATATAAAGGTAGATAGACAGACAGAAAGTCAGAAGAAACAAAACCCCGACAGCAATAAGCAACCCAGTGGCCAGATCTTGGTTTTTAAATGTCACTATGCTAAAAGAAGCCAGGGATTCTTGAAAACCTGGCTGATTCTGGGCTGAAACAATAAGATACAAGGTGAGCCTGGATCATCTTATTGTGCTAGAAAATAAGGACAAGCTCAAAACATTATAGGAACAACCCTAGCTGGTTTGGGTCAGTGAATAGGCCTGCGGAATGAAGGGCCCTGAGTTCAATTCCAGTCAAGAGCACGTACCTCAGTTGCAGGCTCAGTCCCTGGCCCTGGAATCTCCCCTCCCTTCCACTCTTTCTAAAAATCAATGGAAAAATATCCTTGGGTGAGGATTAACAAGATACACACACACACACACACACACACACACACACACACACACACACACAATGTGGGAACATTTCAAGGGACACGAAAGCTATTGGAGGGGATTTTACTGGTCAAACTGGTCACTGATGCTAATTTTGTCACCTCATTTAATAGCAGACTTCCGAACATATTAAGTATTTAATAAATGAAGGGTGAATCACATGTTCAGAGCAGATCAATTTCTTGTCTCTCTGATTGGCTTCTATGCTCCTTATTGTCCTTGTTTTGTTAAGTGTTAACACCATGATTTGGACCTTGTATATCCTGTGGGTGCTGACTTAACATAACACATTTCACCCACTTTAAGGACTTTCATAATTCTTTTTTATTCTTGTGTAAGGGTATCTCAGTAAATTTGGATGAGGACCCAGGAGTACCTGGCCTGCTTACTAATCATCCCCCCCCCCCCCCCCCCCCCCCCCGGCCATTATTCTGAGGAAGTTGGGCAAACAATAGAAATGGGAGGGGAGAATTAACCAGTCTTTTGCTGGTATCTGTGTGTTAGGGTTCATCAGAGAATTGGAAGCATAAAGAGTGCTAGCTTGTAAGTGATTTACTGAGGGAATTTGACCTGACATGGGAGTGGGAGCCGGTGACCGCCTGTGGGAGCCTGTGGCTCTGCGTCTGGTGGCTGTCCTGTCCTTGGGGAGAGAAGCGGGGACAAGCTGGCACCCAGGTCATTTCCCAAGGCCTCCAAACCTCCCACTTTGATACTAGGGTCCTGCAAGAAAAGTTGGTGCCTGCCCCAAAGCTAACAACCCTCTGACTCAGGAGTCAGAGAAACTGTGGGAGGATGGGGAGGCAGCTGGAGGAGCCTTAGGATTGGCAAGGAAGGTTTCAGGGTCCCTGGAAGTTATCAATTACTTGTTAAGAAAAACAGAGAAGAAAGGAGGGAGGACACATTGGTCAGGATAGGCTGGCTTGAACTGTGACAACCACCCCAACCTCAGTGGACTAAAGCTAGATTTCTACCTTATCCACTGTCCTCGTCATTCATGGGACAGTGGTAAGGGCTTTATTTCCTCTGGGCATTACAGGTCCAGCTGATGGAGTGGCCACCATGGCAGGGCTGCTGGGAGTGGTGATGGTTAAGGTGATGGTCCCAGTGTGATCCCACCCCACCCCCACCAGCACTGTGTCCCCTTACTGTGTGGTTCACTCATCATAAAAGAAGGAAAGAGAGCCCTGAAGTGTCTCACATCTGTAATCAAATTTAAGTGGAACTTGTTATTCTCACCACAATTCATTGGCCACAACTGATCATATGACAACACCCAACACAAAGTGTCATGAGATGATAGATATCCAGAAATATTCAGAGAGAACCATTGACTCCCACAGAGATGTGGGAGGGATGTGGAATCCTGTTCCATACGTATGTTTGGGGAATGAATTACGTTGACCAAAATGTCTGTCCCTGAAGCATTGCTTCTCTTGGATAACTTCCTGTTCCAGAGCCCCCATTTCTGCCTTACAACCCCCAGAACAAAAGACAAACTCCTTTATGAGGTCACTCCAGATGCTCTAACTGTGCCCAGAGGAGGAGTCAGGCACAGCAGGACATTCTGGGGTGCAGACCCCCCCAGGGACGATAAGGAGAAATTAGGGGACCTCAGTGGATCCAAGTCTGATGGGAGAAAGACAATGCACACGCCTGTCACTGAGAAGGGGTTATGCTGGATCCCTTGGCCAGGGGGCTGACTGCCAAGATCAAAATGAGTTATTTTCACAAAAATTATCTGGAAGCTCAAGGCAGCCTTGTTCTGGGATGTGGGTAAAGATATGGCCTCTTCTTCAGTGGGGACCAGGCCCCGAAATTCTGCACTGCCGGGTTATCAGGGTCAATGGTGGTTCAGGCTTGGGCCCAGCTGACCGCTTTGGTACAGTGTGGTTTGGGCAGATATGGGTGGGAAATGGCACTGGGTATTTTGATAATAAAGGAAGCAGCAGTGCCTTGGCAGTGGTGGAAGATGTCAGAGGTGATGGTTATGCACACGCCCATGGAGAGACGGTGCCAGGGAAGAGTGGGCCTTCCACAAGTAGCAAGAAAACTGGGCTTCTAGGTGCACGGGGGGCCACTCTGAGAATAGGCAATTTACTCATCTATGCAATAGTTACTGGACACCTGCTATTTAGGTAGCAAAAAAAAAAAAAAAAAAAAAAATGGAGAAAGTCCCTGACTTAATGGAACTTACATTCCAAAGGGAGAGACTGGCAAAACAGAAACATATCCATAACTAACTGTGAAAAGTGGTAAGCGCTACAAGACAGTAAAAACATACACACATACTATTTTATTATGTATAATACAATTTTAGTGTATAAGGTGAGATACTTCGCATTTCTTCTATTGTGAATTAGAGTGGAATAACATTATTATGATCCTAATTTTACTACTAGGCTATTGAAGCTGGGAGATCTGCAAGGCCATCTGCCACATTGCCACAGCTTTCATAGACTCCACGGGCCTTGGCCATGAAGGATGACAGGTCTTCATTTGATGGGGGGAGGGGGAAAGTAGGCTGAGACTGAGAAGGAGCCAGGGTGCTAATGCTGCTGTCACCAAGGTGGAGATAAAGAAGTTATCACTGCAGTGGCTAACGGGACATTGGAAATCTTCTCCTAGTCCAGGCAGGCACTGGTGTCTGAAGGTCCACTTGGGTGAATAATACCAGGAATCTCTGGTAAGCAGTGGTGTCAATGACAAGTGGTAGAAGCTCTTGGTTCTAATAGGGTCCATCCTGGAAGAAGGAGGACCATGTCTATGGCAGATGTCTACAGAGGAGTGCAGTAACCTGAAGTGTGGGCAAGGGCTGGGAAGGTTGTCAGTGGCCCATTCATTCATACTTATTAAGATCCCACTATGAGACAGACTCTGTGCTACATGTTAGGAATACATGATAAACTCCCAAAGACCCTTCCCTTATGGAGCTTATATACCACTAGGTCTCAGCCCAAAGAGCTGTAATTCTAGTCCTAGCAGAGAAGTACAGCACAAACTACCAACCAGTTGGGTAGTAGAGTCTGGCCACATACCTTGGGTGGTATCTGCAGTTTTATGGGCCCATAGAGAGAGGCTGAGAACTCCGTCCAGGTAAAGGATGGAGGCAGAAGGTGAAGACGGCTTAGTCCTAACACCATCTGAATTGATTTTTATTAACTCAGAGCAAAAATGGGTATGTAGTCTGCAGAGAGGCTGAAAGGCAAGCTATGCATGGCTGAAGAGGGTGGGGGTAGCCAGTGTCCTCCCAGAGTCCCTGAATATTAACGTAGCTCAGCCACTGTACCATGTAGCTACCAGCCAATGAAAGGAATCACAGACCCTCAACCCTTTAGCTTCTTCCCTTACTCATCCCCTCCACCTTCCCCCAAATCTAGCACAGGAATCCCTTAGACTAGATGACTGAATTCTTCCTCTTCTGTTCTTAACTTCTGGCTCCTTGTTGGACTTAGCTGGTACTTATTCTCAGATTCTTTAGGCTTTTGATCATTTGGGATAAAATTCTTACCCTGAATATTCTTGGCTCCAGGCCTTCATGTCCACTCATCTGGTTTGCATCCTACTCAAACCCCCATCAGCAACCTTTAAGAGAGGCCTGATTATTTTGTCATGAACCCATGGCTTCAGGGGCAAGCCTGTTGCTATGGCAACATGGATGATCTATCAGCCACATGCTGTCACTCTTCTTTGGGACTGTGAGGGCTCTGGGAGGGGAAAACCAGCCTCCTGAGGGAAATAGCAAACCTTGTGGGCCAATTATCAGAGGAGAAGGCAAACGGCCGCCTCCCTGACTCTGCCTTGGCATGCCCTATGGCCCACAGGTCCTACCCCTCCCCAGCTTCTAATCCTGCCCAAGGAGAGATAAGAAGGGAATCCAAAGACATTGTCAGGTTTCATTATGTAGCTTTAAACCTGCATCTTGATTCTCCAGAGAAGCCAAAAGGATTACATTTTTCTTTTCTTGCCTAACTGAGGATGTGGAAAGATGATGGCCCCACTCATGCAACCTGGTAATCCCTCTGGGAAGCTAACATAGGTTTCTGTCCTCAGAGACTTGGAGATCAAATCCATCATGCCTCCCAGTGCTGTTTGTGTTGGCCAACATCCAAAGTGTAACCTCTACCTTCATGCCCATTCTGTCATTTGATCCCCTTCCACAGTTATTCTCATGAAGCTCTTTGCATCCTTCTGCCTCAGCCTTCCACCCTCCTCTCCTCCATATTCATTTCCACTCTGGCCCTGGAATCCTTTTGCCATAACTACTGCAACTCTCTCATGTGGTAACTACTTTCTCATATCCCTTGTATTTCAGAACAACAAGGTGAGTTGATATTTCTATGGGGGATACAATTAATTATAAGTAATAGAAAATAAGTAGGATTCATTTCATATAATCAGAAATCTGGGTATAGATAGCTGCTGGAACTGGTTTGGTGGCCAGTCAAAATGAAGACTCACATCTCTGTGATTATCTTTGCCTTTTCCTCATGTTTATAACCTCTAGGTCACAATATGGCCATTGCAGCCCAGCCATCATGTCTGGATTCCAGGCAAGAAAGGGTAATGAGTGCATCAGAAAAGCAAAAACATTCTCAAATTCCCTGGTAAATTAAGCTGATGTTTCATTGGCTAGATGTATGCCACATGGCCACTCCCTAATAAAAGGAGATCTCAGAAGGTAAGTATACTTAGCTGGCATATTGCAGACTAGAAAAAAATCAGAATTTTGTTAGTAAGAAAGAAAAGAATAGCCCTAACCGGTTTTGCTCAGTGGATAGAGCGTCAGCCTGTGGACTGAAGAGTCCCAGGTTCGATTCCAGTTAAGGGCATGTACCTTGGTTGCGGGCACATCCCCAGTGGGAGGTGTGTAAGAGGCAGCTGATTGATATTTCTCTCTCATTGATGTTTCTAACTCTCTATCCCTCTCCCTTACTCTCTGTGAAAAATCAATAATATATATTTTTTTAAAAAGAAAAGAGTAAAAATATCAGGCAGAGAGCAACACTGTCTGCCACGGTGTCTCTCTACTCCCCCACATTATATTTCCACTGTTTTGTCTAAGATCCTACTTCTTTTTTTTCCTTATTGATTAAGGTATTACATATGTATCCTTATCCCCCCATTGCCCTCCTACCCCCGCCCCCCACTCATGCCCTCACCCCCCTGGTGTCTGTGTCCATTGGTTAGGCTTATATGCATGCATACATGTGCTTTGGTTGATCTTAAGATCCTACTTCTTTGCACTCAGGCCATTTAGATATTCTGCTCTATCCCCTGTTGCTGCTGTCATCTACCGGGGAGTCATCTCTTTCATTGTGTACATTGACAATGGCAAAAAGCTCACTGCTCCATAGGGCAAGCCAGTTGCTTGCCCACTATACCCAAGCTTTGATCAATCTGGATGACTCCAGGCAGGTTGCCTGTCCAACATCATGGCCACTTGTGTGCTCACCTTTTTTTCATGTTCAGAGATTTTTCTCTCCATTTCAGCCATTCACTTCCATTTACATTCCTTGGATATTGTCACTACCTATAATGGTACTCCTCCTGAGTTACTAATTGAAGTACTCCTCTGCTTGCCTGTGACCTCCCCTTCTAACAGGGGAAGGATCATTGTCCCTGCCTGTCCTCTGCTATGTCCTTATCTATCAACCTTTCCCTTTCTATTCAGCATGGATTTCATGAGCAGTATTTCTATACTCTCTTCTGGCCCTACATTTCTCTACTCCCATCTTTATTCTCTGCAACTCTCTTGTCCCTCTGTTGCCTCCATTTGTCTAAGCTCTTTACTTGGATGAACCCAACTATCTATTTCACTGTGCCTACATCCAAACACCTGATCATTACCTAATGAGGCAGACTAATTCCTGTATAAGTTCAAGGCCATTAAATTCAAACAGGTCCTCACACTATACAAAGCACTGCAGTTCTGTTTCTCATTTTCCTATTTTCCACAGTGTCTGTGGAAATCTTTCTCCTTTCCACAGCCTCTAAGGTCTCTTCTTAGATTGTTAGAGAAAAAAAAAGCAGCTCTCACATAGAAACACTGTTAACCCTCTGAGTATTTCTGCACCTGTTCTGTGGGTCCTTCCCTCCAGTTCTAGTAACAGAGCTGCCCCACCTCCCATTTACTTAGAATCTCCTTCTGCCTTCCAGGAACCTCACACTTGTTTACCATTTCTGTTTTCCTAGTTGTATATTCAATCTTTTTCTCATCTGAACCTTTCCAGTTGTATTTATACATTTCACATTTCTCTCATTAAAAAAAAAATAACAATAATAATCAACTTCAAGTTATTACCTAATCTCTCTTCCCACCTACACAGGTCAAACTCCAGAGAGCGCTGTCTATATTTTCTGTCTTGATTTCTGTATATCCCAACCTCAATCCACATCATTCTGCCTTTCCATCTTACCATCAGCTTTTGCTGGAATTGTGGATTACTCTCATACTGACACCAGTATTCCAGTATTTCTCCTATGTGACCATTCCCTACTTTTTTCTCCTGGCTTTCTTTCTACCTCTCCAGCTGTTCCTTTTATATCTCTTTTGCAAACTCATTCATCTCTACTTGGCCAGTAAATTATGGAGATCCTCAAGACTTGTTCAATAATCTTTCCTTCTTTACTACATTCTTTCTAAGTGACCATGAATGTCAAGTCTGTACCTTTAGTCTAGACTTCTCTGAGCTCTAGACCTATAACATCTAATTTTCTTTCAACTTAACATATGTTCTTCTATAAGATACTTGACTTTATAAAAGTCCAATGTATTAATTATCTATTGCTGTGTAACAAAGCAAAACTTAGCACTTAAAACCACAAACATTTATTACCTCACAGTTTCTGTAGGTCAAGAGTCTAGGTGTGGCATAGTGAGATCCTCTGGCCAGGAGTCTCTTAGGAGGCTGCAAACACGGTGTTGGCCATGGCTGGGTCATCTCAGGACTCCAGTAGGGATGAACCCACTTCTAAACCCACTCAGGTGGCTGTTGTTGGGCTTCAGGTCTGCACAGGCTGTTGCTCAGAGATATCAGTGTCTAACCACAGGGCCTCTGAACAAGGCCACTTGTAGCAGGAAGGCTTGCTTCTCCAGAGTGAGGGAGGATTCAGAGGGCTTGGAGGTCGGGGAGAGGAAGATGGAAGTCAAATTTTATGTGTAACCTAATCTGAGAAGTAACACCCTGCCAGGGCTGACAAGAAGCCCCTGAAAGACAGATGAACAGATTACTCAGATAGTTTGACTGTGCAAGAGAGGGCTAAGGGGCCCCTTGCTCTAGTGGCCAGAGCAGCCTCTATTGCCTGCCTTGTTAGGCCTTTATTAGAATTTTTATTTATAGATACAATCAGTAGGGTGAGTAATCTTGGGAGGTTTACATTGTCCTCTAGGCAAGGGCATTCAGGATTAGCATAAGGATTCCAGTAAAAACCCAGGGGTCAACACTTGCACAGACTTGATTGGAAAGGTCAAGGAATAATTAGGGGCGCTGCCTTCAACACTCCCCTAAGTCGGAATTCTGGTAAACAGGTAAGGCGGCCTTCCACGCACTTCCCTTTTATCAGAAAGTCCTCCTTACAACTTTCAACCAAGTCGCTTGTGCTCCCCAACATCTCCCCCTTTTTCATTTTGCTGAAAGTAGAAGACAGAGGGAGGTGGTGAACTTTCTGCTTTGGAATGTCCGGGTCCACAAAGCACATTTACTGCTGGAGTTCTGATTTTACAGACTATAAGAAAAACAAAAAGAGCAATGGTTAGTTATCTGGAATGCGTACAGTGTGAGTATGCTCCAATAATTGCTCAGCCTCTGCTGTCAGCTTCTTCATCATTCCCCAGGTTATTCCGGGGGCCATCTGGGTCTGGGGAAGGCACAATGTTAGGTGCTGCGGAGTCCCCAAGCCCAAGTTCTTCATTTCTGGAAGAGGATTGGTCCTGTACCATGCCATGATAGGGTTCAATCTGACAAGATGGAATCTACAGCGGCCCTAGTGGGGGTAGAAGCATAGGCATATCCCTCCCCCCAAGTTAATTCATTGGATCCCATCCAGTTATTAGTGTCCACATCTTGCACAAGACTTGTGGTTTCTGAGATGGGGTTACTGAGGATTACAAATGATCATTCCGATTTTAAAAATTAAGGGTAGCTACAATTGGAAACAGGTCTTATTGAATAAATGCAAAGAAATGTATTACCACTTACTAAGAATTGCCAAATTCTGGAAAGACAGGTAGGGAGAGAAATATATAATTTACTAAATTTGTGTTAAAAATGCTTCCTTATATCTGAAAAGCAAAAAGTTTAAGAATCAGCAATACTTGCAAATGACATGGAATCTTGTCCTTTCTGCAAAACACAGTATTCCAGAATAACAATTAGAGCTATAAATGAATGCATAATATAGTTATTATTTGACAGAGCTTCCCATGTACCTTAAGCAGAAAATTTTCCTTCATGAGAGAGAAAACAAATACTTGAGGCATTTCAGAGTCTATTGGAATGATCTAAAGCCAATTCTAGGTGAAGAAAAAGTTTCTTAAAATTTAAACCCTGGAAGGATTGTCAAATTTATTTTGCCAAAAGATAGATACAAACATAGGCTAGAAAACTTCAGTTCCCACCATTAAAAGATGGCCTTTTTGTAAAAAATACCTGATTAATATGAAATATAACCATTTTAATAGTTTATAGGATTAGGAAAGGACTAACCAAAATAAGGTTTATTCTCTACTTGGGTGTGGTCAGCAAATGACACTAATTGGAATTTTGCTATCAGTCTTCCTGAGTACATGATATAAGCTATTTACCATATGTTTAGACCAGTGGTTCTCAACCTTCTGGCCCTTTAAATACAGTTCCTCATGTTGTGACCCAACCATAAAATTATTTTCGTTGCTACTTCATAACTGTAATGTTGCTACTGTTATGAATCGTAATGTAAATATCTGATATGCAGGATGGTCTTAGGCAACCCCTGTGAAAGGGTCGTTCGACCGCCAAAGGGGTCATGACCCACAGGTTGAGAACCACTAGTTTAGACCTTATAGTTAGGGAGGCAAAATGCAAATCATTTACTCTTAAGTGTCCTTGGTTTAGGGAGGATAGGATTTACTAGATGGTTCCAAATTAACCATCTCAGTTTCCCTTTTCTACTTGTCCTGGCTTACTGGCCTGTGTCATTTATACCATTTCCTTTCAACATTTCTCTTCACAAAATTCCACAACTTTCACAAATATTTCTTCAGAAACCTTACAACTTTCAGAAATAACCAGCTCTAGAATCCACATTCTTTTCCCTTCAAAATGCATCTCTATGCTTCATGCTTTCCATGACATCAAAACCATAATTTCTTTCTAATTAGTTAGAATTCTTAACCCTTCCTTAGAAACCTTAATTTTTAGGTGGCATGTAAGTAATTAACACTCCTCAGATTAGCAATACATTCACATTTTAAGAGATATTTCAAGTAAAATACAAGACATTCATTAACAGATTCAAATCCATCCTCTAGTTTTTCATATGAGGCAAACTCAGATTAATTAATATTTCAGTATCCTGTTATTTCAAAATACCTAGATATTTAATAATTTTTACTATTTAATCCAGCAAACTCCAAAGTTTTAAGTTACGAAACACTTTGGAAAACTATGTTTAGGCATATATAATTACCACTGAAAAAGC